ACAAAGCCTTTATTCAGGATTTTTTCTTTGATTAGGACTCCAATGATGATTTTAAAGGCTTTACTCGAGTGGATGTTGACAGTGAAGTGGTTGAAGATGATAACCATGTTAGTGATGTGGAGGAAAGTGATGATGACCACTAGTGGTTACTATCATCTATAGTGACTAATTTTTATAGAAACTACTGACCACCATCAATATACCTGATAGCCTTTCTGAAGGTGAATTATTTTGTCTATTCATAAATTTCAAAATAATAATTTATCAAGAAGAAATAAATATGCTAGTCAGGTGAAAAAAGACCAAACAAATGCTGGTGTCTTCTCATATGTAGACATAAAGAAGCATTTTTTTTTTTTTTTTGACAAAATGAAAGCCTTCCTAGCTATTTTGCTTCTTATTGCACCTCAGAACTTCGCAAGGAGTAATAAAAGTTAAAACAATGTCAAATTGTTGATATATTAATTTTTAATCTTTTGTTTTTTTTTTTTCATGTTTAATTTTTTTTTTTTTTTTCAATGTCAAAAGATGCATGCAAAATGTAATGTATTATAATAATATATTACATCAAAATATTACTTATCCATTCTTTTATTAGTATACAAAAAAATAAAATCTATGCACACACTACAAAGAAATTTATAAAACTTTTTAAACAGTAGGTGCTCATGTTTTTTGTGACCTTCAAAAAAAAAAAAAATACGAAAGAAGGTTAGAATAATCAAATTGTTCCAAAATGCAGAATAAAGAATTCTTTCTTGACAAACTTAGCTCTAAAAATATTGGTCCAAAAGAAATTGAATTCTGATGAAATTTCTGTGTTTATGTGTAAGGAAAGTATATATTTATAAAGCAGTGTTTCATTTTAGGAATCAAAACTTGTTCATCTGTAAAAAAAAAAAAAAGTTAAATATATTTGTCAGAAATCTAATCATATTACTAGCAATGACACAATCCCAATATGAAACTAACTCATTTTTGTTGAAAGAATTTGGGTTTCTGGATAACAAAAAAAAAAAATACATGTTAGCATCTGCCACTTCTACTCCAACAGTTTCTTTTCTTGCACTTCCTACCTGTGGAACTCCCTTCTTTTTACTTGCTTCCTGATAACTAAAATGTTAAAAAATTTAAATGCAGTGTCAATCCCCATCTTCTATCTCCTTGAATCCCATTCATCTTTTGTCCTTTTCTCAATCCTCCCTATACTCAGTCTTTTCTTATACCTTTACTTCCTGTAACCACTTGCATACTAGTGACATTTCTGCCTTATTGGTGAAATAATTTAAAAAAAAAATGGAAAAAAATTTTCCATTTGTATAAGATCTTTGTGAGTAGTTCATGGAATATATTACTGGCTCTTAGAAAACAAAGGGAAAACATTTAATGAGCAAAGAGGAAAAATATGGCTGAACTCTCCAACTTTTGTCAACTTAAAATGTCATTCTTCACAATGAATGTGCAAAAGTACACTCACAATAAATTGAAGATCAAATCAATTTTATCTTATGTTAATAGTGTTTTGATTGTTTGAGATGGAACTGATTCATATGTACATGAATTACTCTAAATTTTGACAAGTGTAAAATAATGTTATTTATGAATTCTCATATACTTTGGGAGATTGTATCTCCAATACTAGTTAATCAACAAATAGCATTAAATTCTTACACTGGCTGCACATGCCTCACACTCTCTTTTAGGTTGATTTGTCACTTGTTAAAATTTAGTACAATTTGTGCACATATCAATCAATCAGCACATAACAATCAAAATACTATTAACATAAGGCAAATTATTATACAGGTTTAATTATAAAAGTGATTGTCCTCTGATATATGTGTGTGTGGTTTGGAAATTTCACTATAAAACTACCATAATCCTGTGTGTATAAGATGCAGGTTTGTTTCACCCAAAATTGTGTCCAAAAGTCTGCTATGTGTTATAATTTAGTTTATAACTCAATCTCATTTTTTCCAAGACTCAAAACCAACAAAATCAGGTCAAATTGGATTTATTTGTTTACTGGAGAGATAATATCTATCTAATGGCCTATTGCAACAAAAAAAAATTAATTTTTCATAATGTTTCTCTAAGTCTTGTATAGTTCTGTACCTTTTCCGGATTTCATTGTGTTTAGACACCTATGTGAGTTTAGAAATCATTCAAGAGTAAAAATATTATTAAATTTATGATTAAAAAAAAAAATACAAAATGATGCCTAAACAAAATGTCCTGTTTTTTAAATTTTTTTTTCTTTATTTTCTCTTCCATCCTTGCTATGACAATAAACGGCTTCCAGCCCTAATGCCTCTGATTGGGATTTTAAGAACCATTTCTTAAATTTTCTGTTGTTCCCAGGTCCACCTTGATTTGGAGTGGTAGAACCTGTTAGTGTCCCAGCTATGGTCAAATAGTTAACCTTCAAACTGAGTTCAGAACACTATGAAAGTATAAAAATACATTTTATAGTAAAAATACCATCAATATATTTTCATATTAAAAAAAAATTGCCAGCAATACATTTTTGTAAAAAAAAAAAAAAATTACTAATGCTTTCAAGAAAATTAAATTTCAGTATTAAATATTCATAAGGAGTTGATATACTACTAAACAAACAATCATTTTCTCTTTCTTTTTTTTCAAGTTTTGGTCATTTTCTCTGCCCTAAAATCAGGTGCATTATATACATGAAAATAAAGCTTTTTTTCACTGAAATTTCTCTGTTTTTTTTAACTGCATATTATACTCCCTAACAATCTATACATAAAGGTATTTAATCTGACACTTTGCTTGCATAATCACAAACCTTTCCGTGTATTATTTTAATTTTTTGGATTTTATGTTCGGCTTAGAAAATCTGAATCTGATACTCAAAGGACAGAATGAAGGGTAGAGGAAAGCAGCACATGACATATTTCATGAGCTTGAGTAAATGGATGATAGAACAGAGTTTGGAAGAAATAACAAAAAATACAAAACTTATTAAGAAAAACAAAGGACAGTGTGGAGGGCCATGATCGCCTACGTCCTGAAGGGACACATCACATAAAAGAAGCAATAGCTTTCATGTGCATCTAATGATTAACCTAACCATTTGTAGCAGAACCCTGGCCCTGACCACTTGGTCAACAGTCTGCTATTCTAACCACAAAATAAAAACCTATCAGTGAAGCATCTGTTGCGATGGGGCAAGAATGGATGAGAGCAGTGAAGAAGTATGGTGAGAGTAGAGGGTACAATTTTTCGATGAGGGCAGTGGTGGTTGGAAAAAGAGCACTGACAGTGGGAGGATTGGGGTTTGGTACTGGAAGAGAGTGGAGATACATTTGTGGTGACTTGTACAGTACTGTTTGTTTCTTCTTCATCCATTGTGTTGGTAAATCTTAGCTACTCTACATTTACTGGTGGGAGAGTGGAGAGAAAATCCAAATGTCCTCTGGTGTAAGTGCTCAAATGCTTCCATATGATTCTGTAGTGAATTGTAAAAAAAAAAAAAAAATCAATATTTTTCTTGTAAGCTGCAAATCCATTGACAGACGTTCTTAGTATGTGGCTGTGTGGCAGTTGAAGAGGTAGGAAGCTGTAGACTTGATGCTTTCAAAGAACTTGCTCTTGTGTTATAAGACTAAGATCAGATTAGAAATGAAATGAAAGTTAAAAAAGAATGAACTGACATGTGTACACTTGTGTGCCTACCTACGATTACTGCTGTAGAGAAGTGTTGTTAAACTCTGTCCGCATATCAATATATCATTATTCTTAACTTGGATATCTGTGTGTGGATATTTTTGGGAACATTTTTTTTTTTTTGAATGCGTGTTCATTTTCTTATTTCACAGACTGGTCTAACTTTTAGTTTTTCTTTATTAACGCATTTTGCTTGAAGCATTCTTTGATTTTCTTCAACTTGATGTTGCCTCTAAGCAGATTCTAACTGAGGAATGCTGAAGACAGGGCCAAATGATGCATTAAAATCTACAATTGTCTCCCAGAATAGATGGTATAATGTAAACAGTTTCTCACAGAATTTCAAGAAAGCAAAATATTGCTATTGTTCCTTTATTTTAAATAACCTTTCTTTAGAAATTTCAATATATATCCTCAAGGACACATGGCCTAGTGGATAAAAGCATTCGTTAAAATAATCCAGTGACTTGACCTAAAGTGTTGTTCAATATATGACTACATCAGAGGTAAACAAACAAGCAAAAAAAAAAAAAAACTTGAAAGAATTGAGTTACTGAAGGGAAAATAATTCAAACTGAGATATCCAGAAAAGGCATGGCACCTGGAACTAGAACAATCTACCCCAGTAAATGAAATAATGGGTTTTGTTCAAAATTCATTCATATATCACCTGAAGAAGTTTGGAGCATACAATGACCAAAACATGGTGAAATATATATATATCTATTTATTTTAGGATATTACATCAAAAACATGTCAAAATCACAACACAATTGCAGTCATGATTTGATGCATATCAATGCATCTCATCAGGCGATTGTAAATTACTGGTGAATGAACGTAAATCTAAATAAATCATTGACTCACCAGTAATTTACAATATGCCTAAAAAATTATATACACGAAACCAAGAGATAGCTTATTCCTAAAATTTCGTTTGAAGATGAAACGGGACTAAACACCTCAATTAAACTTAATTTTAATAATTATTTGGATGGTTTCGCTCTCGTTTTTTGAAACATGAGAACTCTTATGTAGCGAAGGAATCATATTTTTTTAAACAAAAAAAATTTATAATATAAGCTCTACTTCTGTATGGAGCACTGTCTTCTTAAAAATAAAAACAAAATACTAAGGAACTCCAGATTATGCATCCAACATGTTCTTTTTTTTATTTTCATACCTACACATATATATATATATATATATATATATATATATATATATATATACAAATACACTATATTTTCCTATAAGTTAAGGAAAAAAAATTATAGTATATAAATAAACTGTACAGATGTATGGCACTTACAACCATATCATTTTGGAATACCAGTTCTTGTTTGATCACAAAAGTTAAGCAACATCTGAGCCTGGTCTGTACTTAAATGGGTGACTGCTTGGGAATACCAGGTACTGTAAGCTTGGCTCTGTTTATTTATTAAAGAGTATATTTATTTTTGTCTCATTGGTCTGAATAATACAGAAAAAAAAAAATGACGTTTGTCATTCCATTATTTCTTTCAAAATTGAATATATATATATATATATATATATATATATATATATATATATATACTGGTAGATTTTAATTTCACTGTTTACATATATATATATATATATATATATATATATATATATATATAACGTCATCCACAGACAGACTGTTTCACAGCTCATCAGTGTGGCTAGACATCCGTTTGCCTCTAGCTAGGATCGAAACCCGACTGAATTGGTGTCAGTCGGAGATTCTAACCATTAAGCTGTCGGCGCGGTAGGGATGAAAGTGGATTTTTTAAGCATATTTATTTTTAGAAACACGCCCAGTGACCGACAGTGACTCAATTTGCATTTGCGAAGAGTCTCGCTATATAGCTATAATAGTCACTGTTTATTATATACCTCGTCCCCAGAGAGCTCAACTGAAATTGATATTTCAGGAGCCAATATAACACACACATACACAGAGGGTGCGATGGATAAATTGTTGTCTAAATATAAATGAAAATGTCACTCAAGTACACACACACACATATATATGTGCAATGTATAAAATGCCGTCTAAATTACTCAAAAATGAAGATAATGCTCACATCTCATTTTAACAGATATATTTACTAAAATTACAAAAAATATCTTGAAATACTAAAAAGAAATTTATTCAATAAAATCACCATTGGCTTCAAGCACAGCTTTCAAATGACTTTTGAATCTCCTGCAGTTCTTCTAGACACTTTCCTTGTTTAAGTTGGTAAATGCTGCCATAATCCTTGCCTTCAGTTCATCTTTGGTGTTACAAGAAGTTTTGTTGGTCTCTTGCTCAAATGTGCCCCACATCTAATAATCAAGGGGTTGCAGTTTGCAGGGAGTTAGATAATTACTGGTTTCTCCTGCTTGTGTAGCATGGTTCAGATGGAAAATAACAAATTTTATATGAGTTCTTTTCTTATGAAAACATATTGATATTTTATATAACTATCCATCATAATCACCATTTAGACTCTTCCATGTTTTCAAATCCTCTGCAACTATAAATTGACATCTTAACATTTGGAAATGTTCATGTTATTTATTCCAGTGTGGATATTTAAGAACAGTTGCATTTTCCAAATTTCTGGCTGAAAAAATTGTTGACAAATTTTTTTCTCAAAGACGGTGCCCAACTGACCCTTTAATACTGTGCAGTCAACAAAATCAAAACAAAATAACATGTATTAAAAAATTACCCATAATTCAAAATTTACACACACATGGAAAACGAGTGTCAATTAACTACTTAATCAGTCATGGGTATTTTAGCCTGTGGACAACTATATCCATTTGGATTCTTTGACATTCCTAATTTAATTAGGAAAATAATTTTTAAAATCTGGCTTGATTCATTTTCACTTGTTCACTCCTGTTTCTTGAATTTGTAAATTTTTGTTGTAGGTAACATTTTCATTTTTAAACCAATGGCAATTTTTTGCTAAGGAAGATCAGACGTGTAAATATCTTTTGCTTTAGAAACAATTCATTTGCAAAAAAAAATTTTTTTTTTTTTCTGAGAGGAAATATTTTTTATTTTTTTTTTTTATTTTATTTTATTTTTATTTTTTTTATTTTATTTTTTTTTTTTTTAAAAAAAAAAAAAAAAAAATGTTTTTTGACTTGGCATGTGCTAATCAGTTATTTGTGTTAATATTATAACCAAGTCTTGAATTTTTTTAATTATAGAAAAATCTTTTTCTCCAAAGAAAAAAAAAAAATTTTTTTCATTATTTTAAATTTCACTTTGTTCTTTATTGAAAAGAATTGTAAATTCTTGACAAAAAGTTACCTTGAACCATTTTATTAGTGCTGACTGCCTTATGTTGAGCTTATATTTTTTATTTTTTAACCCACTTTACAGGAAAGGTTGCCTATGCCTGAAAATTTTATATTATGTTTTTAAAATGCTAAGTTTTGAATTCATTAGAAGCAGGAAAATTTAGATTATTGCAAGGCAATTATGTAATCTATGGTTTCGAAAAATGGTTTGAAATTTAACTCAGTTATTGATTGACACTTTAAACAATCATATTTATATCTTCAATTAATTATTCATGATGCCCCATATAAGTAACTGTCATTTTTATTTGTTGTTGTGTGTGTGAAATTTTTCAAAGAAAATCAGGACAGTTTTTTTTTTCCTTTTTCATTAATCAATATCTACAAATGTTTGTTGATAAATTATTTGTAATTATATATATATATATATATAATCATTTATTTTAAAACATAAAATAACTAATGTATTGATGGTTGAATAGAATAGACTGTATGCCTGTATTTTGATTATGATTTTTTTTTTTCATCTTCAAAATTTCAGAGGTTTCTTTTTGTTTTTATTATAGAACAAATTTTATCTTTCTTTGTTCAACAAGAGGAAAAATCATTTTTTCATTAATTTGTGAAAAACCTGTCTCAATTTTGTTTTTTTGGGGATCTCTTTTTTTAAACCAAAATTTTTGTGTGTTCTCTCTCTCTTCTCTCTATCTTTTGTGTGTGTGTAATATGAATTTGTGCGTGTAAAATTATGTGTGTGTGTCTATTTAAATCTAATATAATTATTTAAATATATCTCTATATTTATGAATTGGTTAAATATTCTCTTCCCTTTCTTTAGTCTAATTTCTTTAAATGCATTTTAAATTATATTTGGCACCTTTTTATTTTGTCTCATAATTAAAAAATGAAAAAATAATTTAAAATTTTGATGAAAAGTTCTAAATTATAAATATTTTGGTCCCATTAAATTGAGAGAGAATTTTATGTTTCCGTCAACTTTAATCATTTTCTATAAATGTAGTTCAATTTTTTTTCAAATCCATGAGGAGATTTGAGACCAGTTCAGATAACATTTAATCTTTCTGACATGTTAAAATATTAAACAAATAAAAAAATCTACTCTTAAAAGCATGAAGAAAGATATTTCAATTATTTCTGATATTTATCACAAGAACAAATTTTTTCTTTTAACATGTATATTTTTAGTATGTGTTTGATAATTCTAAACAAAATTTTTTAAAACCATCTTTTTCAATTTTTTTTTTATAACTATATAATATTGTGAAACATTATGGGTTTTCTGTTTATATAACTTTTTTGTAAAAGCTTTTCCTTTAAAAACTTTAAATTTTCATATTTTTTCTCTATTCCCCTCTTATAAATATTTAAATATAACATATATATCCTTTGTTTTTCAAATAAGGCTTTCATATTTGAATATAATATGATTGAATTCTATATTTTATTTTTCCCAAATGTTACTTCATTTATTGAAATAAATTCATACAAACATATCACATGCATTTTAATGACACATAAACTTTTTGTTAATGTAAATGAACATATTGACAAATTTTTATAATTTAATAATTTAAATTTTTAGTATATTTATATCTCTTGTTTGTAGTAAATTTGTTTAATTAAAAAATTAATTATCACAACTATTTCATTTTAAACACATTTTTAAATATTTGGCAAATATTGAATAAATTTCTATATATATGTATTTCTATTTTAAACAATATATAAATTTTTATAGATTTAAAACTATAATTTAAATTTCTGATTTCAAATATCTCCCTAAAAATGATTTATCAATTTCTGTGTCTGGTTGGATTTTTTCTTTGCTTTTTTTCTTTAGAATTTTTGCCTTCAGTTTGTGTATTTTGTCCTAAATGTATTTCTGCATCCATAATGTTGTTTTATTTTTTTTTTTAATTCAACAATAATACCACCATTTTAAAAATAGTTTGAATTATTACATGACTAGTTACTATTACCTGTATTGTTTCTTTGTTTTTTTTCTGCAAAAAAAAGTTTTATTTTTCATTTTTTTATTATCATTGTTATAAATATTAAAAATTAATTGTTTTTTTTTGGGTTTATTTCGAAAAATATATATACAAATTTTGAATTTGATTTCATCAAAAAAAAAACCTTATTATTGTTATAAATCATTTTTAGTTTTTTCTTTTGGATTCAAAGAACCTTTGATTTCTATTATAAAATTTCCAAATATTTATTAACCTGAGATCTAAAAATTTTGGAATTTAAATTTTTTTCACTAAACATTTTTAAAAAAAAAAATTCACCTACATTTTAGCTGTAATTTCTAAATTTTTTTTTTTTTTTTTTTTATTTATTATTTTAGTTCCTTTCTCCTTATATTTTCCAACCAAACCCTCTGTAATGTTGAAAGTATATAAAAAAAGAAAATAACAAAACATTTCTGTAAAAATTTAAGTTAATACATTTTCACTAAACTTAAGTTTTTATTTTTTTTAAATATAATTTTTTAAAAATAAATCAAATTAAATAAAAACATGCCTCCAGCAATTAAATGAATCAAAGAAATCCTGTTTTTCTATCATGAAATGCTTTTTTTGTTTTTTAAACCTGTCCAGCTTTTACCTCCTTTAAGAAAAGCACTTTGGATCTTCTTGAATAAAATTATTTAAAACTTCAGATCTGAATTTGAAATATCTTATAAAATTTTTGTTATTTTAAATTTTTTTTTTTTTAATATTTTGAGTTTTTTAATAGTTTTTTTTTTTTTTTTTTTTTTTGTTTTTTTTTTTTTTTTTTTTTTTGTAGTATTTTTTTATAGTATTTTTTTCTAAATAGTATTTTTTTTTTTTTTATATTATTTGTGTAATAGAATTAAATAATTTTTTTCTAGGATTATTATTTTTTATAGTATTTTATTGGGTAAGCAAGAACAAATCTGTGTTTGGCCTTGTCTGGTAATGTTAAGAAATCAATACTTACATTTCTTCCCCGAGCAAAAATTATTGGGTTTTTGTTGATTTCTGCCTCATATAAGTATCTTAAATTTTTCATGGTTGGAGCAGACAAATTAATTTTACTAAATAAATGAAAGGCAGAAAAAGAGTA